GGGGGGGGGGGGGGGGGGGGGGGGGGGGAGGTGGGGGGGGGGGGGGGGGGGGGGGGGGGGGGGGGGGGGGGGGGGGGGGGGGGGGGGGGGGGGGGGGGGGGGGGGGGGGGGGGGGGGGGGGGGGGGGGGGGGGGGGGGGGGGGGGGGGGGGGGGGGGGGGGGGGGGGGGGGGGAGAGGGGGGGGGGGGGGGGGGGGGGGGGGGGGGGGGGGGGGGGGGGGGGGGGGGGGGGGGGGGGAGGGGGGGAGGGGGGGGAGGGGGGGGGAGGGGGGGGGGGCAGGACGGTGTGGGCTTTGGTCTTTGGCCTTTGGTGGCTTGGCAGATAGTTAAGAAGTTTGGGCTTACACTTATTAACTTATTATGCTGATGCTTAGGTTCAAAACAGACTGTCACGACGTTAAAAGTAGGCTTGGCGGCTTGGTCTTGGCGGCATGGCCTGCGTTTGGCATCAATCCAATTGAGAAAAGCCAGGCGCCCAAGCGATTGAGGCTGGGAGCCACCTGCTGGTTGTGACCTGGGGTGTTGAACTCATGCAGTGAGGAGTTCAGTTGTTGCCATGTGGTTATTTGTCTTTGTTGTTTGCAGCTTGGCTGCTTTGCTTCAGACCGGTACGTGGTGTAGGTTGGTGGCTCACGTTCACAGTGAAGGGGCAGTCGGGTTGTGTGTTTATGCTGCAGGGCAAAAGATGCTCGCTTCTTGGCTTCCTTCTTGATCTTTGGCCTGTGGCCTTGTTGTGTGTGTTGTGTTTGTGCGTTTGTCGGAGTGCTTCGGCCTTTGGCCTTGTTGCCCTTGGATTGGCGCTGCTGCTGCTTGATTCTTTGTTTCAGTCTTGGCTCTACCAAGAGGCAAGCCTGCAAGGCAATCAAAACAAAAACATCAGGCTTGCCTCCAAACCGTTGGCCGGGTTTGGAGCTCAGCTTCCTACCATGTTGTCTGACAGAACTTTTGGCCAACATGCTCCAGCCTTGGGAGCAGACGACAGCAGGGCAATGCGCTAATGCGCCTGCTGGGTTCTGGGAAAGACTTCGTGGACAAAGGAAGGTGCATTTGGCAGTGGGGCGTGACCCGCATCTGTCCATTTTGACTGGAAGGCCTGTTGCCAATGGCGGTTGTGCGTGGCTTGATTGGTCCTGTGTCGTGTCCTGGTCCTTGTCCTTGTCATGTTCGGTTCTGTTCTGTGTTTTGGCAATACGCCGCCTTGGAGTTCCTGCATCTGTCCATTGCGTGGGCCGTGGGCTGAGCAGTTGTTTGCCGATTGCTGCGTGTTGGCAAGAATGCAGCAATGCATGTGCTGCATGTGTGCATGGCGCAGCTTGGCAGTGGATGGCGTTGCCGTTGCCGTTTGCCATGATAACGGAACTTGCTGCATTTGGTCAAATTCCAAACGCCATGGGCAGGGCTATGCTTACCCAGTTGAAAGGAGCCCCTGAGGGGGGTGTGGAAATTCAACATGTACCGTTGGCCGGGTGCAGGCGTGGTACCTGTCCCGCGGTGTTAAGGCCACGCTTGTGCAGCCGATGATCTTTATGATCTAGGCTCGCAGGTATGACAGTGGGGCACATGCGCCTAATGCGTCCACTGGCACCGACCCCTGGGAAAAGCCTCGACCTGCCTGGCAAGTTCTCCGAAAGGGGGCTTAGCCGGACATAATAGAGGCATAATGTTCAGGGTGCGTTGGCTGGCGATGGGGAGGCCCTCTGTGCTTTGTCACAGAGATTGAAAATTGAAGTTGCTTGCTTGTCATCATGAGTCATCATGTCATGTCATGTCTTGTCATGAGTGCTGTGTGCGCTGTGTGGGAGTCTTTGGCTTTGGTCATTTAAAGCTCGCACGTGGGGGAGGGAATTGGCAGGATGAGGGGAAAGCAGGCATGTTGCCAGCCTGGCCCAAGGCCCGCAACCATGCAACGGCTTTTAGCCGGGTAAAAACCTCAAAGTGTCCAAGTGGACTAAGTCGGAGAACGAACTGACATATCACTCACGCATTGTGTCGTCACACGAGTCAATGAAGTCTGCATAATGACGATTATTGTGGTGCTTGCACGGAAGACAACATTCCCTGGCAGGTCTTCATGCCAAGTTCGGTACCTACGCCAAGTACTACGAGTTCATCTCGGATCGGCAAAACCAGCATGAGCACAAGTCCTTTTTGGCGTCGTTAAAAGACACAGCCTCAGTATGGGACCGCCAGTCAAGAGTCAAGAGTGCGAGGCATCGTGCATGTGGTTTGCCGCTTCTTTTCTTACTCTAGTTTTGTTGTCGAATGACTTCCTCAGGACTGGATCAAGCAGCACAACGAAGACCCTCAACGAGCAAAGCTGAAAAGCAAAGAACAACTTTTGGCAGTCAAGCGCGAGCTTGCAGTCGATCGTCGTGTGGGCGGCCGGCTTGTAGCCCCAAAACGACAATTCGTTTTGTCGTCCGCTTGGAGCGAGGCCAAACACGGTGTGTGGGACGCCAGCAAGGACCCTGGAGCATTAAACTTTAAATTTGAAGCCTTAAAACCCTAGTAGCAACAAAACCCTAAACCCTCAAGCCAAGGCCGTACCCATGAGTATAAACCCTTAACCCAAAGCCTTATGAATCAACCTTAATCCGGCAACCAGGAAGTTGAGCTCGAGATCAAAGGCATCAAGCAGAAAGGCGTCTGGCGGCTCGTCGGGGAAGAGGGTGTCTTCGATTTCGAAGAATACGAAGACACGGCCGTGGCCGAGAAGATCATCGAACACGAGGGCGGGGACGAACCGTTCTCTGAGGTGGCCTTCGCCCGGAAGAAAGAGGCCATGCACAACGCCTGGACGGCTCAGAGCAAGGCTCGAGAAGCCGTGTCTGTCAAAGGCCCAGAGCTTGGCATGGAAGCCGATTTGTGTACTTGTTCACATCTGTTTTATAGTTTATGTGTGCGAACATTTTGGCTCACAGTATTAGTTGTGCTTGCTGGCGGTTTTTTCGAATTGCATTTAGCCGACATGTGCGGTCCACGCAATATGTTTGCAACAGTTGCGAACTCTCTTCATTTCATGTCACATGGCAACAGGACAGTAAACAGTACATCACGCTTGCTTCGCTCTGTAGAACTCCTCGTGCCGGGGGGGGGGAGCGGGCACCCCCACAAGTGGGGTGAATGGCTTGATCGCTCCGGGCTCTCAGAAGTCCTCGTGCCTGCTCCTTTCAGTGGGGGTGCATGGAAGCTTCCACTCAGACGCCAGACATCTTTGATCTTGAAGAGCGTGTGTTTGCACTTGAAGTCAGCCGAGCCGGGCACTCTAATCATCTTTCGCAGGTTCAAACGTGGTTGAATAGGCTTGAGAATCGCTTGCAAGCTGTGGAGCGCGACATTGCTCTTATCATTGGCTTGCAGCGCAGCATCCGGCAATTGCGTAGAGCTAACATTCTGCTTTTGCGTGCACTTCAAGAGAGCCGCCGTAACTACGCATCTCTGGCACGCCGGGTAGCACTTTTGGAGGTGGCAGGTTTGTGATAGTCATGAAGCGGCCTCTTGACCCAGACGATAGGTCAGCAGCATCCGTCAGTGCCAGCGAACCAATGACCAGATCCTTGCCACTTCAAGTTCCAAACCCTAGACCCAGTAGGCCCGCTCCTGCCATTCCCGCGAAAGGTTTGGACGTGGCACCTGAGCCTTCATCGTGCGTTTCCTTCGAGGTGTTCCCGGCCGGGGACCCGTTGCCTGCACCATCAGTGCGGCGTACAAGCTTCGGAGATTCGGCGATTTCGGATGCATCCTGTTCGGGTTTAGGCCCTGCCCTGCCGGGTTCCTCTAAGCTTAAGCCCCCTGTAATGCCTTCGGAACGATCAAAAACACCAAAAATCAGTGAAAATGCCTCTCGCAGCAAAGTGGCACGTGCAGCTTTTATGGCATTATTTTCTATTCTTGGCAACTTGAGCGCTTTGGGTGCATCTTTGCAAGAAAGCAGTCAGGACCACGTGGGTCGCATCCTTCAGATGTTTGTAGCAGCCACCGTCATACGGTACAGCTCAGCCTTCAGATCCCTTGCTGACACCATTTTGGATTTGGGATTTGCTTTGGAAACATTGACATCGGTCCAGCTTGCTGATGCTCTTGTCGTCTTAAGCTTAGCGCGCAGCAGTGACCCGGAGTCGGGAACACACTCAGCGACCGCAATCAAGGCCATCCGGTGGGTTAAACGTATTTTCGAAGTCGCATGCTTTGATGTCGCGTACTCACCCTTGATTGGCAGTTTCCTGAAATCCAAGATTCCCCGTGAACGTAAAGAGGCGGTGCCCTTGTCTCTTTATGTCGTCACACAGTTTGAGCGACGCTTGCTGATGCAAGAAGCTACGGATGCCGAGGTCCTCATCCTGGGGGGGTTCTTAATCTTGATTTGGGGTTCCATTAGGTTTATGGACGGACAAAGAGTTCACTGGCGATCCCTGTCCTATGACGGCTCTACACTGAGGGGCTCGTGCTATCAAACAAAAACAACATCCCAAGGACAACCATTTGGGGTCATTTGCCAAGGACTGCTTAGTCATGGATCTTTCACATGGGTGCATAGATTTCTTCGGACTTTGGACAAGGTGGCGTGCATGCATTGCAGCCTTCACCCGGGCCATCCCTTGCCTTCGAGTCTCCTTTTATCGATTGGAGCTACAGGGGTCCCTGTTTACCCTTTGCAAGCCATGGGATACGCGGCCGCACTTAGGCACCTTAGGTATGCAATTTCACTCCCGTGGAAAAAACATAAGACCCCCGTCCCTCACGAAGTCCAACTTAATTACACAGTGCACTCCCTGAAAACCACCCTCCTTTCCTGGATGGGTCAACGTCCTGAGGTTCAGCCAATCGAAAAGCAATGCCAGGGGCATCATAGGCTTAGCTCATCCCAGCTTTATTCGCGTGAAGACATTATTCCGGCGCTGCGAGGTCAGCAGAAGCTAAGATTCGCCATAATCGGCGGAGCCAGGTTCCTTACCCCGCTCCACAGAGGCTCTCAGCATCCGTTGGAGGAGCCACCAGTGCAGATTGAGTCGTTCAGCAAGGCAGCGGAAACCACTTCTTTCGAGCACTTTCCACAGTTCGTTATGAAGGAAGGGTGGCATCTTCCTGAGTTCGAGAAAACGTCGGAGTTACCTAAGCCGGTTGACCCAGCACCCTTGTGGGATATGCAATCATCCGATGAAGAATCATTGGACAGCAGCGGCGACGAAGCACCCAAGCTCCCCGACCTAGGGGATCCTGAAGAATTGGTGCTTGCATCGTGCACAGGCGTGCACCATGCTATGGTTCCTTCCTCAGGAGCCTCTGCGACCACATATCGTGGTAAGGGCCTGCGACCTGCTTGTGGCGTTCGCTTGTATGCAGACAATATTAACTGGCGCGAGCAGTATTCTCCCGAGCTCACATTGTGCAAAAGACGTGCATGCTGCATAATCCTCGGTCGTTGTGGGATCTCGGACTCGTGAGCAATCAAAGCAAAAAGAGTGGTCAGGCTCACATTTCAAGGGTCATTCATGCAGTCTCAGCGTCATGTGCATGCACTCTGTCAGTTCACTTGTTCAGCCAGGCACCAGAGAAGTTCCTTTTTTTCTTTTGGTCTTAGCAGCGGCTCAAATGACTGGGGTTTCTGTGGATCCTTCAGGAATTCCCAACCTTTCAGGCGGTTCTTTTGGTAGCTTCCTTAATCTACTTGCTTCAGGGTCGCTAGGGTCCACAATAGCCTTTTGCTATGGAACTGGCTGAGCTCTTGAAGTCCGAAGGCCTCTCTGACGAGCTTGCCGATCTGGCAGTGGCAACGGGGTGGAAGTCATCCACTTTCAAGCATGCTGTCAGCAAATTGGCGGATTTAGATTCTGTGTTGGGCGAAATCTTTCCAGAGAAAGCTCTGACAGTTCTTCAGAAGGCCACTATTCGATCGGTTTGGAGTAAACTGCAGGAGTCAGAACCCTCGGGTTCTGCAGCCTCTGCATCGCCTCCTGTGCCAGAGTCTCGGGAAGGATCATGGGTGGAATCTTTTGCCCCAAAGATATCAGCATCTTCAATTTCTGAAATGAAACGGAAGTATCTGGTAAACTATCCGTCGGAGATCATCAACTACTCCACTCAGCCCTCAACCAGATTGCTGAGCTTAGCATCGCACCAGCAGAACAAGAAGGATTGGCGATGGATCCCCTGGAAATATCGAATGACGGAAGAGCGAGCTTCTGAGATAATGATGTCCCGGCCCAACAAGCAACCTCGGCTTGAGGCTATCGGGCTCTCGGGGATGTTATTGGACGAACCTCCAGCTCTGGAAATCCAAGATCATTCCATGGGTGTGAATGCTATTCAGAAGCTTATGAATGTGCATGACGTGGCATTGGCAATGGTGGGAACCGCCCATCTCGCCAGGCTGAAAGGATATACAACAAAATTCATTTCTCTTCTGACTCAGAAATTCGATGCTTCATCAGGACTTCGGCCACCATCAGTCTTAGAAGCACAACAGGCGGATTGCCGCTTGTGGCAGGGCATGATCACCCTGGTCACCGACAAAGGATGGACGATGGATGATGTCCTCTACGAGTTCACCGAGGTGCGGGGCGAGATGGCCAGCCTGCTTCAAGCTCGAGCGCGTCCTCCTCCCGTCCCCAAAGGCTGGGAAGGCAAGGGCAAAGCTGTCAAGGGCTTGGGTAAGATGCTCGTGGAGTCCTATGCCAAAGGCTACGCATCGCAGGCGTCTGTCAAAGGCAAAGGGAAGGACAAAGGCAAGAACAAGGAGGCTAAAGGCGGCTCCAATATCAACTTTGTGAAGTCGATCATGGTGGGGTCTGAGTCCAAACCATTGTGTGTGAATTGGCAATTGAGCCGTTGCAATCGTGGGAACGCGTGCCCATTCGTGCACGCTTGTGCCTTCCCGAAATCCAATGGGCAAGCTTGTGGAAGCAAGGCGCATACGGCGCTGCAGCACGAGAGTACTCCCCACTGACTTAGCCCCAATCCCATAGGCATGCCAGGGGTGATTTCTTCGGACCCTCTCCCCGCACTCGTATCACTACAACATTCTTCGGATCACATGTCAGTGTCTTCGCAGAACGAGACAGCGTCACTTAATTTGCATTCCCAGCCGCCAAAGAGACTTCGAATGCAGCAGTCAGGCCCTCAGGCAAGCGGCACAGCTTTCTTCTCAGGCCCGCAGGTGCAAGGCTCTTCGGGTTTCACTCTTGCGTCTGAAATCCCGAGTTCGGGATCGTCTGTACCTCCCAAGATGGGAGTTTCCCCAGGCACTCGAGAGGTGTCGGGATTCAGGTCCGCAGGCTCAGAGGCATCGAACTCCGGCGTGCAGCCGGACGGCGTTTTTGTCGCATCAGCGGGTGCACCATGCATTCATGATTTCGATTCTCTTACAGCAGCACTGATCGCAGCAGTATGGCCGGAACGTGCGGCCCCAGACCGTGCAGCAGCCTCAACTGCTCGATCGGATTCAGGTTATTGGAATTTCGGAGTTCAGGTTAGCCATAGGAACACTTTATCTAGCGTCACAGCAGCCTTGCCAGGACTCTGTAAAGAACTTAACCAATTTCTTCAGCAATGTTTTCCAGGTGAAACGTGGAACTCTTTGTGCGTCAGCAGGAACGTCTTAACAACCCCACACAGGGACTCGGCTAACTTGAAAAATTCCCTCAATCTTTCGGTGAGCGTCGGAAATTTTTCAGGAGGGCGTCTTTGGATAGAGGACCCCGAGGGTTCAGTCGAACAATTCATCCCTGCACTTGGCAAAACCCTCCTGGGGTCGTACACTTGCACTCGCCATGCCCCCACAAAATTCCCCTGTAATCTATGGCACTGCACAGAGCCATGGCTGGGGGATAGATGGGTTCTCACCTGTTTTACCCTTCCTTCGGTTTCCCATTCAGGGCTCCCACAACTGGGTTTCCCCACTGTCATGCATTCGGGTTTAGCCCCACCGAAACCTGCACAGCCCGAACCCTCTGACACGCAGGCGCATTCGACAGCAGTCACGCCTCCAGCATGCATTGAGCATCGACCGTCTCCAATCGCAGGTTCCCCAATCAACTGGGGCAAAGCTTCGCCTTTCGGATTTACTAATCATAGCTTGAAGGTAGTCCCGGACCCCCCTAAGCAAGTTCCTCGAGCCACCGCCATTCCCATTCCACAACAGATGGGATCAAGGATTTTCTTGGATCTTTGTTCGGGTCTAGAAAAGCCTCTGTCGCTAGCAGTCGCTGCTCTTAGCTTACCAGTGCTGTCCATTGACATTCTTTTGGACCCAACTATGGATATCTTGAACAACGACTTCTTTGAGCAACTTCTGTTTATCTGCGGTTCGGGTATAGTGGGGTATTGCGCCTCCTCTCCTTGCTGTTCGGAATATAGCCGTTTGAAACTTCGGGGTGATAAACCATACCCCATACGTACACCGCAATTTCTTGAAGGGCTTCCAGACATCCCCGCAGAAGCCCAATCCCGCGTTCAGGAAAGTCACGAGATGCTCTCTCGAGCATGTCAGTGCGCAAAAGTTGTGCACGCTGCAGGGGGCCACTCCCATGTGGAGCAACCTTCAGGAGCTATGTCGTGGGAAGAACCGTGTATGCAAAGCTGGCTTCATGCAGGTTCTGTCGTGCTAGTTCTGTGTGCTGCATGTGCTTTTGGGGCAAACTGGCAGAAGACATGGCTTTTTGCCAGTAGCTTCAAGACACTCGGTCTCATGGGCCAAACTTGCTCGCACGGGCGAGATGCTCACCCAGTGATGCAAGGTCGCTCTGTCTCAGGCGTCTTCCAGAGCAGATCCACAGCCAAATATCCGCAACCCTTGGCGGAAACCTTCGCATTGCACATCAGACCCCTACTCTCGGGTGATTCGGGCGATCACACCATAGCCTCAGCCTCAGCACTGATTCCGGTGAAGGGTATTCAAGCAGAGCCCTGGGTTCTCCATGACGGGGCAGGGCGTCACTCTTGCGGTGACTGGAGCAGCCCGTTGTGTTCCGACAAGCTTAAACCGCTTCGCACATACCTGCTCAGTTGTGTCGCTCGCCTGCAAGGGGACAAGCGTCTTCTTGCAAAAGCAGAATGGCCCAGCCCTGATCCATTATTTACACAATCTGAGGTTTCCGAAGTTAGGCAGGGTTTTCTTGCGAGCTTGGGGTTGCAAAATAATGAACAAATGTGGCACATTCGAGAACACCAGCCCTTGGCTCTCCACATTTTGGAGAAACTTGCGAGCATATGCGGTGATCCAGACATCAGCTTGTTCCCAAGTTTGCAGAACGGGGTCCCTACAGGCTATAACAACGATATCCCGCCTTCTCACTGCTTTTGGCCAAACCAAAAGTCTAACGTTGAAGATGTCCCGTTGTCGATCCACATGCAGAACTGGCGCTCGGCATCGGTCGAGCCCTCAGTCACACAAGCGCTCCTGGATGAAGAAATCAATCAGGGTTTTTGCTACAAGTTCCAAGGGTCGTTAGCCGAAGCCAAGGCCAAGTGGCCAGCACTTGCGATAGGAAAGCTTTCAGTCGTTCGCGCTCCAGGGCGTGCAGAGCGATTGGTACTTGACAATTCAGTCTGCGGCACAAACGCAAATTGTGATGTCCCAGAGACTCAGCACATGCCGTCTGCCAGAGATGTTGTTAACAGCTATCCACTTCGCGAATGTAACGCTCGGCAATCAGCCATATCTTTGGACGTTAAATCAGCCCACAAAAGGGTTTTCGTCACACCAGCCGAGCATGGCTTGCTAGGGTTCTCATGGGATGATGCTTTGTACTTCTACCGCGTGACACCTTTTGGTGCAGTCTTCGCCCAGCACTGGTGGGGCAGACTTGGATCGTGCATCCTTCGCATTTTGCATGTGCTTATCTTCATCAGCCACACAGGTCACTTATTTGTGGACGATTACCTGTTCTCGCAACTGGCAGCGATCATGCCAATGACAGGGGCTATGATTTGCCTGTTCTTTCAAGTCATTGGCCTTCCATTATCTTGGCGTAAACTTCAACTGCATAGTCGGGTCCAGTGGATAGGTTGGGACTTTGATTATACAGCGGGGGTAGTCTTGTTGCAGGAGCAAAAACGTCTCAAGTTGTTGGGGATGGTTCAGGATCTTCAGCGAAAACCAAAACTTTCCAAAAAGGATCTTGAACGCTTCGTGGGCCTGGCCCTTTGGGCTTGCCACTTGTTCCCTTCCATGAAAGCACTCCTTCACACATTTTATCACGACCTGTTCAGTCCAGCAGCGACGAACTACTCGATATCTCCAGAAGTATGGCACCAACTTCGAAACCACCTTACAGAGGATCTCAAATTCAAATCCGCCCCGCCAGGTACCGCCATTCCGCTTCACTCTACACTGCTATCGGTGCGGCACCAAAAACTGCAAAGCCTTTCAGATCTTGCCAGTGTTCGCATTACAGACAGACGTATCTGGATGCGCATATCCAGCCAATGCAGCAACAAGCGCCGCCTGAGTGCGGAGTCAGTGCGCATTCTGGGGCTTTATGAGTTGTGGTTACTTCACATGAGCCCTATGGTCAGCATGCGACCGGCAGCAGTGTTTCCAGTGGAAGCACAAGCGGATGCCAGTGCCCAAGGTCAACGGGCTTGCATTGGTGGGTTCGTGTCACATCCTGCATTAGGCCAAAGGTGGTTTAGGGAAGAATTCACATATGAGGAGTTCCGCGAGCTTCAGGTTCCCGTTCAGCAAGATATGCAGCTTGACATTGCGTGCTATGAAGCACTCGCTCAAGGGGCGCTGATTATCGCATCTTCAACCTTGATACCTTGCTCCAGAATCAAGCTTCGGACGGTCTCAGACAACAGTGGTGCGGAGGCAGGTGTGAATGCATCATTTACAACTTCACGCCCACTTGCATATTTCCTTGAACGCATCTCTCTGCTTGCTGCAGTGTATCGTACCACTTTGGATGTGTCCCACATACCGGGGGAGAAAAACACCAAAGCAGATGCACTGTCAAGACCGGGTGAACACGACATTCCCCCAGACTGCCTCGACTGTGATCGCATCAGGCTTCGCCTGAGTGATCTTTGGCTGCCTCGGCCGGCCATTTCCATTTCGCCCAGCGATGCTTCGCTGGCATGGACCGTGCGAGCCCCAGGAGTGCCGAACAACCTCACATAGTTTTGGGCTTTTCGTGAGCGAGGTTGCTGGGTAGTTGTTCTTGGGCGAAACGTGCCACCCATCAACCTGGTTGTTTCGTTTGTTGTCTCACTCGACTTATGTGAGACAAATCGGCACTCCTGGAAAATACTACGTCTTTCAGGGCCTTTGAGTTTGGACTTAAAGCCTCCGGCATACCGCTAGCAAGCGCAACTAAACCTATAGAACGATTTGTGTACTTGTTCACATCTGTTTTATAGTTTATGTGTGCGAACATTTTGGCTCACAGTATTAGTTGTGCTTGCTGGCGGTTTTTTCGAATTCCTCACCCTCCCGCCCTGATGCGGATTCACGACTGGCGCGTTCTAGGACCGCACAGCTGTTTCACAAGGCACTGGCCAAAGAACTCGACAAAGACCTCGTAACAAGAAAACTGGGCCTTCGGGGCAGGCACGTCTCACAGTCCCAGTAGTATCAGCAGCTGAACAGTGTTTTCTACTTGCAATTATCGCTTATCTTGTTTATGTTACGCTTTTTGCTGCACTACACCGTGTCACCTCTTTTAAGAACCTCCACAATGGTAATGCTTTAGCTTGGGCTTATATCCGTATCCTTTTGATTCGGGTCGTTTGTGTCCTCTGCCAAAGGAGGTTCCTCGTTGCGACCACTAGGTTCTCATGCATTGCAAGTGCAAGTGCTCGCGCTGGTCCCACAGCAGTACTTCGAACTTATTCCGCCATTGCATTCGCTGCTTGGTCATCCTGTACTTCGGGTTCTCTCGTTTTGCTACTGCTGTAACGACAGTTTGGATGGGGGGGCGAAACGTGCCACCCATCAACCTGGTTGTTTCGTTTGTTGTCTCACTCGACTTATGTGAGACAAATCGGCACTCCTGGAAAATACTACGTCTTTCAGGGCCTTTGAGTTTGGACTTAAAGCCTCCGGCATACCGCTAGCAAGCACAACTAAACCTATAGAACTTGTTGGCCCTTGTGCAAAACACGGCCTCAGGCCAAGGTTCTTCTTCCAAGCAGCGGCCTCTGGCCAGGTCTCGAAGCCGCTCGCGTGCTGGCAGGTCCAGCAAGGCCAGCAGCTCCAGCGATGAATCTGCCAGCGACGCTGAAGAGGGGCCATTGGCTGGGTTGTCGTTGCTTGTTTCTAGTACGGCATCGGCCAAGGCAAAGAGTGCCAGTGGCAGCAAACCTCCAGCTTCAAGCAAAGCAGGAAACGCTCCAACAGGCAAACCTGGGCTCCTTCGCAGCAATTCATCAGGCATGTGGAAGGTGCGAATATGTTGTGTTTCTGGGTGTCCTTTGCATTGCAGCCATGTAACATTTCTGGACGTTTCTTGCTTTAAGGCGGTTTAGGCTTTAAACTAAAATGCCTGAGGTTTGAGGTTTTTAGGGTTTCAGACGTTTCAAGGTTGGGGGGTTTAAAGTTTGTAGCTTGTGCATACTCAACAATACTACGGTTGAAAAAAATCATAATATTATAATATTGTAGTACTAACGGTATGCACTTTTTGTCACCCGTCAGCATCGAGGTCCAAGCCATCAGCCAAGGGTGCAAACACGAAGAAAGTGTCTGCGCCGTCTGCGCCTGTGGGCCAGGGCCACGGCAGCAGAGGAGGATCAGGATCAGGACCAAGAACCGCCTTGGTTCTGGACGCAACACCAGCAGCACCCATGCAGTTGGACGGGCGTGCAAACAGAACCCTGAGGCGATGCCAGACGGAGATCGACAAGCTCAAGAAGACCTTGCAAGACGTGGACTTGAAAGACAAAGCCCAGGGCCCACAAGCAACTGCGTCGAAGGAATACCGGACTCATTGCCAAAAACGTGTCACCACCATCAACATAGCTGTCCGAGATGCAGGGGCTACGATCAAGGCGGTGGACAAGAGCAGCAACAAAGAGACCTTTGAAACACAGTTGCAAGAGCTGCAGCATTACACGGCTTTGAGCCAGGCTGTTGTGCGTTTGATTCAGATGATGCCGGCAGCCAGACCTGACCCCGAAGAGTTCATCAAAGTGTTGAGCGAGGTCAAGAAGCTAGACATTCTGGGCTTGTCGTTTGGGCCAGGTTTTCAAATGAAGTGTTTGATGGCCAGAGCCAATGAGAGTTGCCTTCACGGGGATCATGAGAAGTTCACCGACATTTTGATGCACAGGTCAGAAGAAGCTCAGCCGCTTCTTAGCAGCATGAACCTCTCTGATTTGCGCTCCCACATTTGCACAGAGGTTGAAAACCGAATGCTGGCATCAATGCGAGCCATCACCACAGAAGAGCTCCAGCTTAAGATGCAAGGCAAGGCTTCCAGTGAGGATACACCCAACTTGCACGAAGCAACCTCCCTAGCCAAAGCAGTTGCAAAAGCATGCGCGGACAGCGATTTTTTGGCTAGCGACCTGCAGGAGTATGCTCAGATGTCCGCTGCACTCCTTGACCAACATGATATCAAAAGGTTGGAAACACAAACGCTGAAGGTCAAAGAAAAGGCTTCTGAGAAGCTTGAGCGCGTGCAGGGCATGATTCGTTTCTTTCTGCAGCATGATGTTGGCAAGGATTTGATGTCCATGGCTATCAGCCGAGTGCAGGAGGGTGAGCTGGAAGCAGATTTTCAGGCCTTGGTCCGGGTTGCTGAAAAGGAGGTAAGCACTTTGGCTTGCGCGGCTGCCAAACCGCCACTTCCTGAAGCCTCGGGATGCAGCTTAGGACCTGATGTCCTGGCCCAGGCCATCGCTCCTGCGTTTGAAGCTGTAGCCAGCTTGAAAGCTTGCAAGTTTCTGAAGTCGAAGCAAAGCAAGAAAGCCCTGGGTGAAGATGGAACGCTTCCAGCAGAGTCTGTCGCGTCTTTGGAAAAGCAGCTGTCCAATGCTGCTGTCCAGCTGGTGAGTCCTGACTTGTCCTGCACCGTGACAGAGCATTTGCTGCTTGCTCCGGTTTAGCAACATGAATCGTATTGCCAACTTATTGCTATAAGGGGAAATGATAAACATTGCCCACTCACTTGAAGCGTCTAGTCTAAGTCATGGATGAAATAAAGAACGAGCCAGGTGGAAGCTGAGGATGAGGTGGTTTTGGGCGTTGGGTGTTGAGGCTTGTGTTGATGTTCATTGTGTTGAAATGTTGAGTGCCATGAGTCTGGCAATGAGGATGTTGCAGGATCGTGTTGCAGTCTTTGGGGTGAGTGCTCGTAGACTGTGCAGCTTGCCAAAACCAAGGAAGGAAGCGTTCGATGCTTTAGAGAACAACTGCATGGTGAAGCTCAACAAGGCTGGAGGTGGCGGTGAGGGCGAGAGCCAAAGCATCATCAATTTAGATGACTTCCTTGCCGGCTTGACTGCAGCATCCTTGGCTGAGAACAAGGTTTTGCAGAGCATCCCAGCAGTGGCGGCTATGATCGCAGACTTCGCATCTGCGGTGGAATCCGTGTCACAACTGCTGCGATGGGTTTTTCTGCGAGAGCCGGCTTTCAGCCAGGTTGCCAGCAAGCAGGAGCACGTTTCGCCTGAGGCTCTCCAAGTTTGGGCCGATGCGGCTGAGAGCCGCCTCAGCAGCTTGGTCGAAGACCCCCAGGTTCTCCTCAGAGTCCAGACGAAGCTTGTATCGCCGGTCAAGCTCGAGCTCGCGCGGCTCTACTCAGCTGGCTTGGACAGCGTTGCGCCGATCGTGGACCAGCTCACAGGAAACATGTTAGGAGCGGGATTGACAAAAGGGCTGTATGAGGATTTGATGATCAAGATCCCCTCGAACCACAAACTCGCAAAGCTCGTGGACGCATTTGCCAAGGCCGATTGCTTTGTTTTGAGATTTTGATTTGAACTTGAGTGAGAAAGAGGAGAGGGAGGGAGAGCAAGCAGGACAGGGAAAGGGAGAGGCGAGCAGCCGAGGCAGTATGCAGCAAGGGCCGAGCCAGATGTGATATGCCAGGTGGCCATGTTCCCGTCCAAGGTGTCTGAGAAGGACCAGGTGCGTTCTTTCATCCAGTCCTTGAAAACGCTTTCTGAAGAGCTGGCCCGGGTTATAAGCCAGGGCCCGGAGATTGAGGCGGCAGATTTGCTCAGAACAAAAATCGCCGATCCTACAACCAGAAACTTTCTTCATCAGCAAGTTTCTGCTCTTCACCAGCGATTGACCACCGTTTCGAGCAATTTTGTGAAGGATGCATGGGCAAAGCACGGTGAAGTCGCCTCGATTCTTGATGATTTGCCATCGCCTGATGCAAAAAAGGAAGAGACCTATCGAACCGCCATGCTGCAACATTGTGCCACTTTAGCGCAGAAGTCAGCTAGCGTTGGTGCCATTTTAGAGACCCTGCGAAGCTTCAAAGCCGAGCTGGAAATCTTATCCAAGATTCAGTTTGTGGACGGGTTGCAAAGCGGTCTGGAATCGCAGGTATCGTATGAGCCAGCGGGAAGTGCAGACGTGTTTGCCGAACAGTGCAACAGGTCTGTGACCTTGTCCAAGCTTCATGTAGCTCTGATTGCTGCAATTTGCTTGATGAGGAACCCCTCGCTCACCAAGCGAACAGAGGAAGGCAAGACATTGATGGCCAAACTTAAGGAAGTTCATCCGACTCTTGTCAAGCACATCCAGGATTGGAAGCCCTATGCCACTGTGTCGACCCCAGGATTTCGGGTCCGTGCTTATGCAGAGACATTGGCTGCTGAAGTTTTGGCCGTCATCTCACCACAGGATCCTGCCAAGACCACAGATAGCAAGCGCAAGAAGAAGGGCAAGGCTGATGAGGATGATGATGATGAAGAGCGCACAAAGGCAAAGTCTGCCAAGAATTCTGATGCAAAGGCGAAGGAGAAGAAAGACAAGAGTGACAAGAAAGACAAAAAAGACAAGAAAGACACGACCCCGGAGGAGCCCACGGAGAAAGCCAAGAAAGCTGTCAAGGACAAGGACAAGGACAAGAGTGACAAGAAACCGAGAGTGCTGGACTGAAGCATGCAGCATGGCCTTTGGCCAGGTTCGTCGTTGATTGCCAAGCAACATGCAATCAACACATTGCCCAGAGTTGCTGGGGCGTTCGCTTTGTTCATGCTTGCTGCCCGTTGACGGCCCGTTGACATCTTGCTTGAGGGCAGCACTGAAAAAGAAGCGATGATTGTTGTGGCTTTGCTCGAGTTTACGTTGGTGCATTATGGCCGGCATGGATCCTGTCTCAAAGCTGTGTTTGCTGCGCTCGCTGTGTTCATCTCATCGTCATGAGTCATGAGTCATGAGTCATGCATGCAACGTCAAATCTTGAGCAGTGTGTTCCAATCCTGTTGCAAGCATTTCAAGCTGAGAACGCATGGCATAGAGTACACTTAGCAGAGGCGTATGCGACATAGGCAGAGGCAAAGGTATGGTGTAGCCCAGCCCCAAGCCAAAACCTAAACGAAATTGGCCTAAACCTTTCGAATCAGAACTTTTGCAGTTTTGGATTTGGCATTTTGCCACAATCAGCACGATGGCGGCTGGTTCATCAGCATCGGTTGACCGGGCACTTTCAAGAGTGGCCTCAAACCCTGCAGAGCCCGAGCTTATGCAAAAGGCTTCAAGCCGGGTTTTGCCAGCCGAAAGATTGCTTGAAGGTGATGCTCTCATGCGGTGTGCCAAAGAGAACTTGAATGGTTTTGTGGAGTTGTATCCACAGCAACTGGGGACAGAAGCCATAGGCAACATGGCGCCAGTCGTGTTGACGTGGGGCTCGGCTTGCTCTGGCTCTGAAGGCATGTTCTATGTTGCTGAAGCTATCAACAAAGCCTTTGACCATTTGAACATTCCTATCTATTTGGACCACAAGTTTTCGTGCGAGAACAGCAAGGACAAGCAGCGATGGATCCACACAGTGCTGGCCTCTGGCCCTGTTTTTGAAGAACTACATTCTGGCGTTGATCCCTGGGGACGGAGTCGTGAGGTTGAGGATGATGACGATGATCCTCATCACACGTGCATTTTCACTGACATACAAAGTTTAGGGCAGGATGTATGTCAGTGTGCAGTGCATAATGCAAACTGTTGTGTTCCCCATGTCGACATCTTTGTATGCGGCATCAGCTGCAAAGACTTGTCAAAGCAGAATGCCAGGAGAGACAAAGCAAAGCTAGTTGTCCAAGAGTCCGAATCCAAAGGCGGCACAGCGCAAACTTGGAATGGATTTCTAGACTACGTGTCCATGGCCTTACCAGGATTCATTTGGTTTGAAAACGTGGATGGCTTGGAAGAAAATGTAGGCCAGTCAGCCCAGTCGAATTTGGACCACATCGTGCAGACCATGAACGAACTGGGCTATGAAAGCCAGGTGATGCAGACTGACGCCTTCCAGTTTGGTCTCCCAGCACGGCGTCGACGCATCTACGTGTGCTTCATCAAGCGGGTTTTCCACAAGTTCGACTTTCACGAGCGCAAGATGGCTGATGTCGTGTCGATGCTGCGGAGCATGACCTTCGTCGTGGCTGGGTAACATTTTGTATTGTTCACGGCTGAGTAAACATAGTAGGGACTAACTTGCAGTTTTCATGCTATCCCAACCATAACCCAGGACAGCTTCATGTGTGAGGTCGGCCCCGTGCGCTAGCGAAGTTCTTCTTGACTCCAGGTCTGAAGCCGTTTTGGCAGGTTTGTCTGAAATGCAAACCAGGAAGGCTCGGGCTTTAGAGCGTGAAGAGAAGGCTGCGGCAAAAGCCAAAGCGGCTCAAACTGCTGAACGGTCGCAGGCTCAGGCTAAGGCGAAGTCCAAGGCCAAGCCAAGCCCTGGGGGCGGGTCAGGACAGTCGTCTTGGGTTGAGCAGCACCTCAAGTACTCGGACAAGAATAACATGCGCTGGGGAGCACCACTTGAAAAAGATCTGGACATAAATGAATGGTTCTTGACCTTGTCGGATCGCGAGAAAGATGCACTCGTGCTGTCGAGGTCTCAAACGCCTTCGGCGGGGTTCAGGAACGTCAGCCAGTCGGTAGGTCGCGTTGTTACTAGCCAGAGCTGGATCGAAGAGACCCAAAAGCACGTCGCTCCTACGATGCTTCCGACGCAGATCTTGTTTGTGGAGATTGCAAGGCCGCCTAGGCTGTTATTGGGGCAGGAGGCCCTCATAATGCAGGGTTTTCCTGTTGTTCCTTGGCCTTGGCTTTGGCTTTCTTCTGGTTGCCACGTAAGACTTAAACTAAAGACGTAAGTGACTCAAGTCTCAAGTCGAAGTTCTAAAGCCTAAACCTAAAACTTTGCAACTTAAAGTCTTAAAGCCTGAAACCTTAGACTTAAGCTCCTGAACCTTGACGTTTAGGCCTTTAGGACTCCGGTTTCAACACCAATCCATCCAAGGTTCCGTTTCTCCTGAAAATGGAGGAAACTGGCTTCGATCGCAATAAAGAGCCTTTGCCAGAGCCCTCACTGTTTGGGCAGCCGCCAGTCAAGAAACGAAAGCAGAAGCAGACGGAAAAGCAGTGGCTGACAGAAAGCCTCATGATGGACATCGCTGGCAACGCGATGACACTTCCGGTTGTGCTGGCCATTGCGCAAGCTGCTTTGTGCGCAGTCGAGTTCCGTGAAGAGCGTTCTGAGGTCACTGGGAAAGACACTGAGCAGACCTTGCAAGCCTTGGCCCTGTTCAGCTGACGTTTTCAAGCCGCAAGCCCGTGCTGGGCATGTGGCCTGTGGCCGTGCTGGCTTTGCACCGTTGTGTTTAGCCAGGGCCTTTGGCCAAGTTGCGAGCCGGCCTTGTTGGCAGACTTTAGGCCTTTAGGCTGTGACTTGCGACTCGTTGTGACAGTCTTTGTGCCGCGAGGAAAAAGACCAAGCCGTGCAGCCTGCTGTTTACTGCCTTGCACTGTCCTGCACATTTGCAGTGTTTTGAAGCCGCGTGTGGTCAAACAACCAACTACGCATACACAGCAAGTCATCGAACACATAAGCATATGATTTGAAAGGTTCTGTTTCAAGCTCCAGCTT